AGAACCCCGCGCCCGGCTTTACCTGAACGTGCCCCTCTCGACATCCTGGCCGCTCATGCGGATGTGGATCCCCTCTTTGAGGAGGGAGCCCAATGCCATATACTCTGCTAAGGCCCAGTCCACGGTCCTGTTCTTCACCATCTCTCCGCGGGTTTTCAGAATGCGGCTCAAGCCTGCAGAGGGACAACACGGTTTGCAGCCGCTGCTGGAGCACCTGCAGGGACGTGCTCTGGGCTCACAGCGCCAAGCCCTCCTGGATCTCCCGCCGGACATATGGGGACCCAAAGGGAGGCGCAGTGTTCCAGGCTGGCACAGCGCAAAGTCCCACAGGGACCCAGCTCTGATAACTGGCGTGCCTGGTCAGTCTGGACTCTCTACCCAACGCGCCATCCCCCAAGGGGGACGAGACCCAGCAAACCTCAGAGAGGTCCAAGGGGGCAGGGGAGAGCAGCCTGAGTGCACGGACACTGCCAAGCCTGCAGCCAGAGGGGCTCCAGAAGGGGCTAGGCAGGCACAGAGGAAAGGGGAGTCACCCCGGGGTCTAGGAACGGTCAGCGTGTTTGCACTGGCTACGGGGGAAGAGACGTCTCCAGACTGGGGAACTCTGCCACAAGAAGCTCCCAACATCAAGAGCTCAGCGAGATTCGTTACGTTTGTCTGGGTAGGTCACAGGGAGGGATGAAACGGGGCAGGGACATTAACCCTCCCCCAGCGCTTCAGCCGCCCCATCTCGGCCAGACTTCGAGACGGCCTAGCAGACGGTGGTGGGGCAGAGGGGGCGCCCAGCCCGCCCCATCTCGGCCAGACTTCGAGACGGCCTAGCAGACGGTGGTGGGGCAGAGGGGGCGCCCAGCCCGCCCCATCTCGGCCAGACTTCGAGACGGCCTAGCAGACGGTGGTGGGGCAGAGGGGGCGCCCAGCCCGCCCCATCTCGGCCAGACTTCGAGACGGCCTAGCAGACGGTGGTGGGGCAGAGGGGGCGCCCAGCCCGCCCCATCTCGGCCAGACTTCGAGACGGCCTAGCAGACGGTGGTGGGGCAGAGGGGGCGCCCAGCCCGCCCCATCTCGGCCAGACTTCGAGACGGCCTAGCAGACGGTGGTGGGGCAGAGGGGGCGCCCAGCCCGCCCCATCTCGGCCAGACTTCGAGACGGCCTAGCAGACGGTGGTGGGGCAGAGGGGGCGCCCAGCCCGCCCCATCTCGGCCAGACTTCGAGACGGCCTAGCAGACGGTGGTGGGGCAGAGGGGGCGCCCAGCCCGCCCCATCTCGGCCAGACTTCGAGACGGCCTAGCAGACGGTGGTGGGGCAGAGGGGGCGCCCAGCCCGCCCCATCTCGGCCAGACTTCGAGACGGCCTAGCAGACGGTGGTGGGGCAGAGGGGGCGCCCAGCCCGCCCCATCTCGGCCAGACTTCGAGACGGCCTAGCAGACGGTGGTGGGGCAGAGGGGGCGCCCAGCCCGCCCCATCTCGGCCAGACTTCGAGACGGCCTAGCAGACGGTGGTGGGGCAGAGGGGGCGCCCAGCCCGCCCCATCTCGGCCAGACTTCGAGACGGCCTAGCAGACGGTGGTGGGGCAGAGGGGGCGCCCAGCCCGCCCCATCTCGGCCAGACTTCGAGACGGCCTAGCAGACGGTGGTGGGGCAGAGGGGGCGCCCAGCCCGCCCCATCTCGGCCAGACTTCGAGACGGCCTAGCAGACGGTGGTGGGGCAGAGGGAGCGCACAGCCCGCCCCATCTCCTACTGCAGGGTTCTTTCCCCAAAGCAGCTGGCGCTGTCCCTGCTGGCGGAGGTGTGGGTGAGACGGGCCTTGGGCCTGACCCAGTCTGGCAATCGCTGTTTGTAGGTACTAGATGGGGCCTTTGGGCATTGCCATAAGGGGTTTTCGGAGAGGAAGCATGGCCCAGTGGTTAGGGCACTAAGCTAGGAGATGGGAGACCTGAGCTCCAGTGCCTACTCTGCCACTGGCTGCCTGTATGACCTGAGCAAGCCCCCTAGCCTCCCTGTCCAGTGGGGAGAGAAGCCCGCCCTGCCCCACAGGCGGTGAGAAGAGAAACACCCTGAAGACGGGGAGCAGCTCAGATACTAGCCGTGGGGCCGGATAAGCGCCCCAGGAATCTCATCAGCACTCAGGTGGCCCCGCCCAGCCACATGGCAGGCCCTGTTCCGTCCCAGGCGTGAAGGCCAGCAGGGACATCTGCACAGCACAGGCCAGGGAGTCCCAGCCAGGACCCCTTCGCCGGCGCTGGTGTGTGACCAGAGCAGCGCCAGAAAGGCAGCCGGTTCAGCCGGCGACCCCCGGAGCGCCTGCCGTTTCCTGTCGTGCGTCCAATGGGCACCCCCGGCACAGCTCCCACCGGCGGGCTCCCTGGAGACTCGCTCACCGCAGCAGCCAGCTCTGGCCAGAACAAACCCCAGGGCCCGGGTGGCAGGGCACGTACCTCCATGGATAGTGAAATCCTCCACGGGCACCGAGCTGGCCACCTGCCCGATGTGGGTCAAGTCTTCTTCATTCAGACCGGTCGAGGGACAGGTCATGCTCCGGGGCTGGCCGTCCAGAGTGAAGAAACCTGGCGGAGGGGAGGTAGCATCTGTGACCTGGTGACGGCCGGGCTGGCTCTACCCCAAGGGCCTTGGCTTGTGTGCCGTCGAGGGCTGCTCCAGGCCCGTCTGTGCTGTTGCAGAAGGCGATTCCGGACGCGGAGCACAGCTCTGTCCATGCAGTGCGGCAGCCCCCCGTCTCCCAGAGGGGCACATGGTGCTCGCTGGGCGGGGGCGGTGTGCATTACGCGCACTTGGAGAGAGACCGCTCCATCTGCGCCAGACGCCCCAAGGCTAAGCCGGGGGCCGACGTTCGGAACGGTTCCGGAACTGGGGCCATTTGGCAGGGAAGCCGCTAGGTCCTTACCGGGCCAGGGGGAATCCAGCCAGTGCTTGATGTGCAGGATTTTCTCATCCTTGGATCTGGCATGGGCCTCTTCGCAGATCCGATCGTACTTGGAAATTTCCTCCTGAGAGCGACAGGGCAAACTGTTACGAGAGGCCCAGGCAAGCGCGTTCGGGGGGGGGGGGGGGGACGGGGGGGGCTCGGG